TAACTATAAGATACTTTTAAATATGTAATATCAGTAGATACATATTTCTCTAATATACATTTCTTTTACAGTAATATTAAGTCTTTATGGAGACCTGAGTATGGTGCTTATATGGTAGAAGGAACACCAGGGAAACCATATGGTGGACTACTATTTCATTTTAATGTTGTTGAAGCTAACATGAGATATAGAAGACAAGAAGCTTCGAAATTACTTAAACCTAACGAAGTTCTAATGTCTTTAACTAATTTCCCAAGGTGCGTCAAGGAGTTATATTGTTAGACAGTAAATAATAGGTAGCAATTTAACTATTTATATTTTCTTTTGCAGATCAGGAGCTCCTGATTTCACAGACCCTCCGACACAACCAACTCCAAGTTCTGGTGTATCAAGAAGTTTATTCTTTCCAGATGATGCTATATACCCAGGTCATCCACGATTCAAAACATTAACAAGAAATATAAGACAACGACGTGGAGAAAAAGTGGCAATAAATATTCCTAGTTTGTATTCTTTGCATCTATTATTTTTATGTTTTAAAGTATAATAAAATCATCATTTAAAACGAAATATTTGTTTACAGTATATAAGGATAAAAATGTTCCAAATCCTTTTAAAGAAGATTTTGGAAATTTGACTGAAAGCGAATCTAGTAATGCAGCAAAAGAAGATCATATTTATATGGATGCAATGGGATTTGGAATGGGGTGCTGTTGTTTGCAGCTTACTTTTCAGGCTTGCAATATAGAAGAAGCTAGAACATTATATGATCAATTAACACCTTTATGTCCAATAATGGTAGGTATTATACCATGTTATTAATGTATTATTTTCAATTGCACAACTATGTGGTTAGCATATTCTTTCGCGTAAACGTTACAGAACATTTATTTAATATTCAACAGTTAGCTCTAACCGCTGCCAGCCCACTTTATCGAGGATATATAAGCGATGTAGATTGTCGATGGAATGTGATATCGTGTTCTGTTGACTGCAGAACACAGGAAGAACGCGGTTTGAAACCTCTAAAGGAAAACAAATTTAGAATTAGTAAATCTAGATACGATTCCATCGACTCGTATCTTAGCGACCAAGGAGAAAAGTATAATGACGTTCCTTTAATGTACGATCACGAAATATACAAACAACTGATGGATAATGGAATTGACAGATTATTAGCACAACATATAGCCCATTTATTTATTAGAGACACTGTATCCTTGTTTTCTGAGAAAGTATATCAAAATGATGAAGAAGACACTGATCACTTTGAAGTAATTATCATTTAATACCACTAATCAATCCTACGTCATTCAATAAACATTAAATATGAAATTTCAGAACATTCAATCTACCAATTGGCAAACAATGCGATTTAAGCCTCCTCCACCAAATTCTTCTATAGGGTGGCGCGTTGAGTTTCGACCGTGCGAGGCACAAATTACCGATTTCGAAAACGCTGCAATAGTTTGTTTTATTGTCCTTCTTACGAGAGTTATCTTAAGTTACAAATTAAACTTGTTGATACCAATTAGTAAAGTTGATAAAAATATGGCTAGAGCACAAAGGAGAGATGCAATCAAGACAGAAAAATTTTGGTTCCGTCGAAATATCACATCGGACACGAAAAACGACGATGGTCAACCAGAATGTTCAGAATATACCATTGATGAAATTATCAATGGAAAGGTAAAGTAGTCCTTTTCTATTGAATGGACAACATTTATTTATATACTTGGTCTTTTAGGATGACGTGTTTCCTGGTTTAGTACCATTGGTAAATTCATATTTGGCTAGTATGGATGTAGATGTTGACACTCACTGTTCCATACAAGCATATATGAAATTAATACAAAAGAGAGCTTCTGGAGAATTGTTAACAACTGCTGCATGGTTGAGGAAGGAAGTTGTTTCACATCCAGAATACAAGCAAGTATTTTTTCTATTATTTTATAAACGTACAGAAAATGTGAAGTTTGTTGTTAGATTGTTACGTAATTATTGTGTTATTTAATTGTAGAAACGACTCTATAATAACTCAACGTATTAACTATGATTTACTAAAGAAAATACAGAAGATTGTATCAAATGAGATATCATGTCCAGAGCTACACGGGACGTGTATATCGTCTAAAACGAATGAAACTATACCTGCAGCAGTTGCAAAAGCGGAAAAGGTTCCATTGTCTATTAATCATTAATAATTTAATACGCTTATGTAGATTATATTAATTCGGATAAAATTTTAGTTTATTTTATTACACTACGAATATTTTGCATACTTAGTGTGAATAATTAATACTCTTACACGGATACTTAACGCTTGTTACTTACATTCAATAACTCAAAAACTTGTAAATAATTACATTCCAAGGAACAAATTTATTTTGTAGCATTTTAAAATGCAACTGTTTGTGAAGATGTTTACATAGGGTGTGATTAAAAAGTTCCAAAAGTGTAGTTTTAGATAGATTTGGGAGAGCACTCTATGAAGTAATATCTTCCTTCATAAATGCAATGAGTCCGCCTCTTTTTACAGGTGGTAAATTTTATGCCATTTTCTTAATGACTATATTTGACGTCTCAAAGTGGCATCTACTTAATCGTTTTTCATTTTGAGAAACAAAAGAAACTGGCTGGAGTTTGATCTCGAGAATATGTTAATTGCAGAACAGTTGATTCTATGTTATAGAAATGTGGCATTTAGATATGTATTATCCGTGTTTCTTATTGCTACATTGTCAACAAATTGTACAGTTCTGTAACTTTACTTAATGATCATTATGTTGGAACTTTTTCGTCATACTTTGTATTTAAAAATTAAAAGAAAAGCAGTCACTTTGTATGGTTTGTATGTATATATAGTCATACATTATTTTTTTACAATACTATTACTACACCATTCATGATGAATGTCATTGTTTGTCTTATTGTGAAAAAATAGTTACTTATCACTACATTATGTGGCATTTTTAAGGTATACATTTTAAGAGAACGAATATTTATATTACAAGAAATAAACTATATCGTACGCATGCATAAAAGTTTTAATTATTTAATACTCTTATTCTTGCCTTTTTATACTAGTTTTATAGGAAATATAGGTGTTCCATAGCAGAGCTATTGATTGTACTACTAAGACTTGGTATTGCAGGGGTACAAAATAAAAGTTACATAATTGTACCATAGGCCACACCTGAAAGAAACGTTGTAATTATAGATCCATTACATACATACAAAATAAAATTATAAACATTACCTTATAGTTATTCCTTAAAATATCAGAATATTCATTTTGCAATTTAGCTTTTAGATGTTCTACATCGTTTCCTTGTAAAATACCAATTACAGATAATAAAACAAAAATAAATGTTGGTGCAAATAGTAGTTGATCACAGCATACTTTCTTTAATACTATAATACCTCCCTTAGAACCAATGTATCTATCTAATATTCCATACCAAGTTCGTGTTGCTGGACCCTATTATGTGATTTGAAACATAAAATTTTATAGAATAATACAAAACATTAGAATAATAGTATTTTTACAGTAAAATTACTCACGGCAATACAAAAACCTATACATGCAAATTGAACTGTACGCATATAGTCCAATTCTCTGAATGTTTTACGTTCAATTAAGTTTTGTGCAATCTCATCTCCTAATGCCATCAATATACCTGTTCGTTGTAAAATATAAATATTAGTATCAACTATGAATATATGCGTAACAATGAAGTATGTGTCTTATATGCATAGTTTTACCAGCTTGAACGGCTTGAGTCCTTAATGGATATTTTGTTAATACCCTTTGATATAATTTTATAATACTTCGCATGTTTGTAATTAATAGGATAACCAAGAGTTCACGTAGTTATATATTTAACGAATATGCATATATATGTAAACTTTCACTGCTTTAATATTTAATAAAAAGGACTTATAAACACACATTTTATAATAAAACGCGTGAACTTTGAATACGTATTTACATACATATGTACATATATGTGTACAAAGTAGAATTCCGTTTAAGCTGCGCAGCACGTGTATTATTCAATATGGAATTTATCACTTACATATTTGAAGTCATAAATTGATACATGACATATATATTGATCAATATCTTTTACATATCCTATTCATATTAAACATAAAAATTTCTCAAGAATAACGTAACACTTCTCACGATAAATGGTATTTTAGTATTTTCTTTCTATACCATCAAGAGGCATATTTTTTATTATATGTATGTTGTTGTATACACATATGTACGTATGCACGAACGTGTACATACTGTATTTGTTTGGATGTTCCATCTAGCAGCGTTACATTTCGATTGCATCATTTGCTTCATTAACACAGTTGGTCATACTGCTGAACTGACAGTTTCATTGGGAAATGGTTGTAAAGTAAAGATGGCAGTGAGAGGTGGTGCACGAATTTTTCTCCTTATAATTTTGTGTATTATCGTGTTAGAATCGTGTAACGGAGCCGCGACAGACATTGAATTAGATGCAAAAGCACAGTTGTTACATAGGCTTGATAGTTTGAATCTTCTATTATACACATTTCTATTAATATTAACTGTTTTAACAATATGGACATTTAAGCATCGTCGACTTAGGTTCCTCCATGAAACTGGTCTAGCTGTCATTTACGGTAAGTCGTCTGCTGTTATAATTTTTTCGGGATAGGATCATTAATAGAAACATATTATGAAAGTTTTTCTATTAGTTCGCAATTGTAGCCGTATAAAATTTTCTATTACGTCGTTATTTCTTGCATAGATACATATACATACGGTAAGTAGTTCTGTTTAATGCTAATACTTATTGTTGTTAAAAATATAGTGAAAAGTTCTTTTTGATATTTTCTATAGATAAGAATAATATTTACATAACTGAGAATGTATGAGTGTAAAATAAATCAGTGTATACAACAATGAAAAATCTTATTTCGTAATTACAGCAAGAATGGATCTTTTGTTTTCAATCAGTCATAAAGTTTACATTCAAAATATAAAGAAATACTTTAGTTTTGTTATCAAACATTCGAAAAAGATGATTGTAACATTTTTTTCCATTGCAATATTACAAATTGTGCAAACTTTGCACAATTATTAATCATTGATCATTATAATACATATGTATTTTTTCATATTGCATCGAATAACTTTGATGCATAGACTATAAGAAAATTATATAATGATAATTCCAGTTATGTAAATATCTAAGGATACATACTTGTTCAAATGAAAGTCATTAATTGACACTCTAGATAATACATCACATGACATTTTCAGTTAATTTCAAATATATGATTTTCAGGATTAATTATAGGGGCAATAATTCGTTATGGCTTTAAAACAAGTAGCACCATACTCCATATGCCTGTTGTGCCAGACAACAGTAGTAAATACAACCAATCAGTTCCTCCGGATACGTTGTGGTTACGTTTCCCAGAAGATAATGGTGGTGGCACCATTAAAAATAAAACATTCGCTTACTCATTTAGGGGGGAAATTTACAAGCAAGATAATGAAATTGATTTAAAGGTATTATAGTAGAGTAATTTATAAAATATATGTTAACTTAGTGTTTATGTTTTCAAAAATAACTTGATTATTACAGGCCACCTTTGATCCTGAAATATTTTTCAATATTATTCTACCTCCAATTATTTTTCATGCTGGTTATAGTTTAAAGCGAGTGAGTAGTTTTATTATATATTTCTTGTATATATTGTACTAATTAATATACAATATAATTTGCTTTGCAATCCTTTTATTTCAGAAATACTTCTTTAGAAATTTAGGTGCAATTCTTATGTACGCTCTAATTGGAACAACAATTTCAGCATTTGTCATAGGGTACGTATTTATTATGTATGATAAATGTAGCAGGATAATTAACAATAAACAAATATTTTTTTGACGTACAAAAGCTTTAATAATGGGCTTATCTTGTGATAACTCCAAAGGTCAATTGGATTAAATTTATCTCTTACTTTTCTTGGAATGTAGTCAGATATGCATTGTATTTTTCTTTATTTTTTCAGAGCTTTGATGTATGCCTTTGTGCAATTAATACCACGTCTTTCCAGTTCGTTCACATTTTTGGATACATTATACTTTGGAGCATTAATATCTCCTACAGATCCACTAACTATAATTTCTATTTTTAATGATTTACATGTAGATGTAAATTTATATGCTTTAGTATTTGGGGAAAGTGTTTTAAATGATGCAGTTGCTATTGTACTCAGTGGGTATGTATAAGGAAATGCTGAAATCTTTTATAATTATGCTCATATCAGTGTTATTACTAAATTCTACTGTATGTATATATATATATATATATATATATATATATATATATGCTATTACAGTTCTATACAGAACTATGGAGAACGTTATCAATCTGGTTCAGGTGGATTTGAAACTGTAGCCTTTTTCCAAGCATTTGGTGATTTCGTTGGTATATTCAGTCTATCATTATTTATTGGTGCCACAATGGGCTGTATTACAGCTTTATTAACTAAATTTACTAGAGTCAGAGATTTTCCTTTGTTGGAATCCGCATTATTTGTCTTAATGTCTTATAGTACCTTTTTAATTGCGGAGGCATCCGATCTTACAGGTAAATCATGAAATAACAGTATAACAAATAATTTTTCAAGGAAACTCATTTTCAACTAATATAACTATAAAAAATATTTTTATACAGGCGTAGTTGCTGTTTTATTCTGTGGTATATGTCAGGCACATTATACCTATAACAATTTAAGTCCCGACTCTCGTCAAAGAACGAAACAACTGTTCGAACTTCTGAATTTTTTAGCTGAAAATTTTATATTCAGTTATATTGGTGTCTCGATGTTTACCTTTCCAAAACACCACTTTGATCCAGGATTCATTTTCACAGGATTTGTATCCTTGAACGATAGCATTAATTCTTAAGCTAACATTTTATAATATTTTTATGATATAAATCCTTAACTTTGTTTTTCACAGTTATGCGCACTGTTAGGACGCGCAGCGAATGTGTATCCATTATCGTTTATATTAAACTTGGCACGAAAGCCGAAAATTTCATTAAATTACCAACACATGTTATTTTTTGCTGGATTGAGAGGCGCTATGAGTTTTGCTTTAGCCATCAGGAATACCGTATCGGACGCTCGACAGGCTATGTTAACAACAACAAGCTTAATTGTAATTCTGACAGTCATTTTCCAAGGTGGAGCAACAACTCAGTTTTTAAGTTGGTTTAATATACCGTGAGTTCACATAATTATTCAAATAATTAATTCTACATAAATAGTTGCTCATAATGATTATATTCAAGCTAATCATATTTTAGAGTCGGGGTGGATGAAGAAATAGAAGGATTGTCGCATAATGGAATGCGTAGTGTAAGTATTTTAGGTACTTTATTCTTAATAAAATATTAATTTAAACAAATTGAGAGCAATATTTAGAGACAGTCTTGAAATGAGAATGTATGATAACTTATGTGCTGTTAATACTTAGTTTGAAAAAACTGCACTTTCTTGGTGACCTTAGTAATTCAGTTTCAGTTCTTTCTTA